GTGCTCCATTGTTTTGTACCTGCCCTTCATTCTGCCTAATTTTTATTTTTAATGACTTTTCCCAGTACCTTTTGCTTTTCTCTGCTTTTGAGACTAAGATCTATCATGGAGATTTCTGGGAAATTTCCGTCTCCTTTCCCTTCCCCACCAGGCAGCCTGGATGCTCCCGTTAGCCACAGGCCTGGACGTGTTCGCTCCGGTTCTGTAATTGTCTGTCGTCTCCCACTTCGCCTCAAAAGTGTCCTCCCTGGGCTGCCAGGCACCGCGTAGGTGCTAAACGGAGAGCAGTTTAAAAAAACAGAATTTAATAAGATTACTCCTTTCATTAGGAACAGCAGCTTCTTTTAATTTATTCATTTGCCAGAATTAGTAGTAGTGTCTGCATTACGCTACAAAACTTACAGCTAAAGTCACCTCAGTTTCTGGTTGTTTTTCATTTGTCTCTGGTCTGCTGACCTTTTCAGCCCTCGCGTTGGTCACTGGGAGGTCACGGCCAAGTTTGGAACCTGCCTTTGTCACTGTGCGGAGCTCGGCTTGCGTGTTGTGTCCTAACCGTATGCTGGGCTTTATGCTTCCCTGCCCCTAGTTACCGAATGTGCATTTTATATTCTGTTCTATCTCATGTCCAAAGGACTGGACATGCAACTCTTCAAAAAATACTCAGTTCCTCCTTTGTTAAAGAAATGTTTAAAAAATTTAGGTGATTATGTACAAATTGTGGATGTAAATGTCATTGAGTAACATGTCTAATTTGATCTTATAGAGTGATTATATCTCTGGTTGTTTTTGAATTTCGTTAATACTTTAACCTTAGTGTGCTTGTGGAACTGTCCTTAGTAGAACTAGGAGAATGGCTGTACTGCTGTTTTGTTTTGTTTTTTTATTGTTGAGTTGTAGGAGTTTTTTACATATTACGAGTACTACACCATTATCAGATATGTGATTTGCACATATTTTCTCCCATCTTATAGATTGCCTTTTTCCTTTTTTGCTAATGTCCTTTGATGCATAAGTTTTAAATTTAGATGAAGTCTATTTAATCTATATTTTCTTTGGAGATTTGTGTTTTTTCTGGCATGTCTAAGAAATTAACGACTAACCAATATCACAAGGATTTGCACCTGTTTCTTTCTTAGAGTTTTATAATTTTATCTGGTATACACCTGATGCATTTTTATTAATTTCTGTATATGGTGTGAGGTAATGGTCCAACTTTTGCATGTAGGTATCCATTTATTTCCACACTGGTTACTAAAATGATTATTGTAACTACCATTGAATTGTCTTAAATACATGTTAGGCATTTTGCTGGAATATATTCATATGCATATATATATTGTCATCCTTTCAAGATACTTACATAAATGTAAGGGTTTATTTGTATACTCTCAATTCTGTTTTGTAGATCTATATGTCTCTGCCAGTACCTCACTGGTTTGATCACTTAGTAGTAAATTTTGAATTGGGAAAATTCTGGAGACTGTTCTGGAGACTGCTCCCCATATAATTGAGAATGTTCCATGTATAATTGAAAAAATATATATTCTTTTTTAAAAAAATATATAATTTTATCGATTTCACAGAGAGGAAGGGAGAGGGAGAGAGAGAGAAACATCAATGATGAGAGAGAGTCATTGATCAGCTGCCTCCTGCATGCCCCCCGCTGGGGACTGAGCCCGAAACCCAGGCATGTGCCCTGACCAGGAATCAAACCTTGATCTCTGGGATCCTAGGTTGATCGATACTCAACCGCTGTGCCATAGCGGCTGGGCTATATTCTTTTTCTTATCAGGTACAATATTCTATAGATGTCTCTTAGGTTTAATTGGATAGTATTGTTGTTCAAATCTTCTATTTCTTTTTTGATTTTTTTTTTTTTTTTTATTTTATTATTGAAGGTGTTGACATTGAAATTCCCAACTGCAGGGTGTCCCAAAAAATGTATACATACTTTAACAGCTGATAGCTCAATTTTGAAAATGAAATGTATTTTAATAAACACTTCCCTTACAATTATTCAAAGTGTGTGTATACGGTTTTTGGGGACACCTTATATTGTTGAATTTTCTTTATCTCCCTTTAGTTCTGTCAGTTTTTGCTACGTGCAGGTTGATGTTTGTATATGTGCATACATTTTTATAATTATTTTATCTTCTTGATATATTGACCTTTTCATTGCTGTAAATAAATGTCCTTTTTTTCTCTAGTATCAATTTTTGTCTTAAAGTTGATATGTCTGATACTAGTATAGCTCTGATAGTTCTCTTTTGGTTAGTATTTCCATGGTGTAGCTTCTTTCATCCTTTTACTTTCAATGTATTTTCCTCTTTGAGTCTAAAGTATATCTGTTATAGACAGCATATGGTTAGACCATGTTTTTTAACAAGATGCCAATTTCTGCCTTTAAATTGGTGTGTTTAATCCATTTATATTTAGTGTAAGAACTGATAAGGTAGGATTTATGTCTGCCACTGTGCTATTTGTTTTATATATATCTTATGTCTTTTTTGTACCTTAATAACTCCTTTTGTGCTAAGTAGATATTTTTACTGCACCACTTTAATTTCATTGTCATTTCTTTTACTAGTTATTTTTAAATATTTTAAATTATTTTCTTACCCTGTCTAGGGTATTACAATTTACACCTTATATTAGTCTTTTTCAGATTTATAACAACTTAATTTCAACAGTACACAAGAATTTTGCTTCCCTGTAGGTCCATTCTCGCCCCACCTCTGTGTTGTGACTCCCATACAAATTTCAGCTTTATATATTTTGTGCTTATCAACACAGATTTATAATTGTTTCTTTATGTTGTCTTTTAAATAAAATAGGAGAAAAAAGTTATAACAGAAATATATTTCTCCTGCCTTTTATATTTACCTTAGTAGCTACCTGTACTAATGTTCTTTATTTTTTTTAATATAGATTCAAGTTACTCTCTTAATGACCTTTCACTTACCTGAAGAATTGCTTTTCATATTTTTATAGAGCATCTCTTCTATTGATGTATTCTCTCAGTTTTTGTTAACCTGGAAATATCTTAATTTTTTTTATGTTTTGAAGGATAGTTTTCTGGATATAGAGTTCTTAGTTGACAATGTTTTTATTTTGGTACTTGGAAATTAGAATCTCATTGCCTGCTGGCCTCCATGGTTTCTCTTGAGAAGTCAGCTTTTGATCTTATTGTAGATCTTTTGCACATGAAAAGTAACTTCTCTCTTGCTGACTTTTCTCTCTTTCTCTTTCAGTGTGTTGAAGATAATGTACTTAGGTGTGGGCCTTTTTGAGTTTATTCTACTTGGAATTTGTGGAGCTTTTTGAATATGTAGATTAAAGGTGTTTTTTTTAATCAAATTTGGAAAGTTTCATGCCATTGTTTCTCCAAATAATATTTCTGCTCCTTTCTCTCTTTACCTTCTGGGTGTCTCATTATACATATGTTCATGTTTAATGGTGGCCCCCAGATCTCTGAGACCCTGTTTATGTTCTTCATTCTTTTTATTCCCTCTTTCTCAAACTGGATAATCTCAGTTGATTTATCTTCAGGTTCACTAATTCTTTCTTCTGTCTAGTGATATCTGCTATTGAACCTCTCTGGTGAATTTTCAGCATCAGTTATTATACTTTTCAATTTAATAATTTCTTCAGATTTTCAAAAATTATTTTCTGTATTTATACTACTACTTTGTTTTGTGAGGCTTTGTTCTCATTCCTTTTTTCTGTTTAGCTCTTTAGACACAGGTTATCCTTTAGTTCCTTGAATATATTTCAAATAACTGTTTTAAAGTCTTTGCTTAGTAAGTCCAGTGTCTCAGCTTTCTCAGGGACAGTTGCTATTGTTTATTTATTTCCATGTGGATGGGTTATGCTTTCATTTTTCTTTGCATGTCCAGTTTATTTAAAACTGGACATTTAATATAATGTATAAACTGTGGAAATCAAATTCTCCTCCTTAGGATTTCTTTTGTGATTTTATTTTGGTTTAGTGACTTTTCCAAACAAATATTATAAAGTCTGTATTTATAGTGTGTTGCCACTGAAGTGTCTCCCGTGTGTTACCGTAGGGATCAGCTAAATGACTGGACAGAGATTTTATTGAATGCCTGGAAACTTAAGTCCCTAGTCTTTGCCAATAGCCTATGGGTGCCTGTTAGAGCATGCCTTCAGCATGCACCCAGTCAACTTACAACTAACTCTGTCTTAGTTTCTCCTTTTGTCCTTGGACTGAACCTCAAGGTCAGGCCAGGGAGAGAGCTCAGGGCCTTCTCAGGTCTCCTGCACATGTACTTGACACTGTATATGCACAACGTCTTTTAGATTCCCAGGAATATGTCAGAGCTTTTCAGTGCCCATATTAACATCTCATTCCCTGACTTTCTTGTTAGCCTATTGTTTGCTCTAGTTTTTCTGCACTACTGCGGGCAGCAGAAATCTTAAATAATTGGTTCTGATTTTTTTCTTCAAATACCCTCAGAGAAAAGGGATTTTTCATGGGATGAGCTCCAAGTTAAAACAAATAAAGACATCCCTCTGAGAATGGGTTTTTGATATAGCTACATCCTGCTGTGCCCCCTCCATTGGCCTCCAGCCTACTGGTTTCCATAGTGATTGTGGCTGTTGGATTTCAAGGTCCCTGCAGAGCTGGGAGTGAGGGGTGGGAATAGGACAAGTTAAAACATCACAAAGCTCACTGTTCATACCAAGATTGAGCCATTTTTCAAAAATAAATTAATGCTCCCTACATCTTTGCAAGCCTTTGGTTAATTTCCAGAGTAGTTAAAATGTTGATTCTGACCATTTTTGACAGTTTCTCTGTGTTGTTTGCTTTTGGAAGTTCTTACCCCATCATTTCCATTGACGTCACTGTTACATTTTTTTACACTATAATTAGCTGTATCGTTAAATGCTAGCTGAATCAATATCCCCTACAAACAGAATGCTTCTATCTTTCCAGACACTTCTCTGAACATTCCTGTGTTTCTCCTGTTCTATTTTAGGACTATGATGATGGCTATGGCACTGCTTATGACGATCAGAGCTATGATTCCTATGATAACAGCTATAGCACCCCAGCCCAAAGGTAAGAGCCAGTCTCTATGACCAGATCCTATAACCGACTCTGTGCCCTTCCACATGTCTACGCTTTGGGGAAAGGATGCTGATGACCAGCCAGGGAGGGTAGTTTGACTTTTCCTTCTCTGTTTCGTGTTTGCTTTAATTGCATAAACACAGTCTGTCCTAACAACCAGCATGAAGTCCCCCTCTGCAGTTCACTGTAGCATTAAAGCAATGAGGTTTGGGAGATAGAAACTGAAATTTTATTCATTCTAATAACTTTATTCAGTGTATTCTGAGGAGGAACATTGTCTACAGGTCTGTGGTTTTTTCAAGTCTAAGGCCCTAAATGGCATCAGAAGTATGTAAACATCCTCCATTGTCGGTGCCTGGGGAAGAAAACACCAAAAGTTTTGTTTTGTAGTCACAGAACATTTCCATTTCCTAGCAGACATGTTCCTGTTTTCTAAGAACTTCAGGTTCCCATTAATGATGAGTGAATCCCCATTCATTTTCACAAGAAGTATTTATTCAGAAATAAATGTTATTGGAGGCAAAACAGCTTTGTAGTTACCTCTTCTGATGGTATACCTTGTTGTGCATTGATATTTGGAATCAGTGTTTATTCTTGCTTTATGTTTAAAATTCTAAGTGGAGAGTAAAAATAGACATACACAAAAGAAAATATTGGCCTTGTGAAGCATTAAAGTTATAGACTATGTGGTTATCTTTATAGGGCATAAATGCACTTTTGAACTCAGACAAGTTTTATTTGTTCACTCTGCTACTGAGGTTGACAGGGATTTAAAAATTTATTTTCTTTTTGCTCATGCCAAGTTATTTTCTTATATAACTTGTAACAATTAAATAGCCTTCAAACTGTCAGCTCGTCTTTTTTTTTTTTAGTGGAAGCCTGTGCATCGTGTTTGTGTTCTTATATACGTATCTCATTGAAGTGCCCAGCAACTTCATGAAGAGTGTGGGGCTGTATTGATGAAGGAAGGGGCACAGAGCATATGATTAAGCTCTCAGGGTCCACAGGTCAACTCACTAGATGCAGAAAGATGTTTTGTTCTTTATAACTTAATATAAAGGACACATGTCATGCATACACAGTTACAGTCACCAGCTCAAAACGGCTTTCTTTCTGAAGCACAGGTGTCATCAGAAGCGCTTGGAGTGGTGGCTCTCTCCCTGGAGCACGCCTGCACCTTTCCCTCCCTCTTCTTCCCCCAGGTGCATTACCTTTGCCTTTCTCTCTCCTAAGCTCCAAGGGTCCTTCTTTAGCCTATGTAACTTGTTTCCTGAGCCCACGCAGCCCAGCTGGCTCACTTCTTCCATGGCTCACTACTTTCACCTCTGTGTCTAAGTGAACTTTTACTCGTTT